GTACACCTGGTGCCTTTGATAAAGTGGAAGAGAAAAAATGTAGGTAGGCGGTGTGGAAGGGAAGAGGAGGCGTTGGAAATGGAACGACCCATTCGAACATCCCATCCAGAATGAAGTTTCCAGAGGAGAGATCAAGAAAATAGACAAGTTCAGGATTGCAGGGGATCGCGAGAGAGAGAATGTTTGGAGTGCGTTCAAATCGTCCCAGGCTCGTTTAATTCCTGCCTCGTCACTGCTCTGAAACCCACCGCTGCCAGTCGTTGTTGGCCGGCTTGAAAAAGGCTGTGCTCGGCGTACGTTGACGGCCATTCTCGTTCATCGGACGATCCTGGCCGGGATAAATAATCGGGATGGCGCTGAGCAGTGAAAGGAGTTTTTCGTAGGTGGATACGGTAAGGTACGCCAAAGCTATTTCGTCCGGTCGTAATTCATATTTACGAGCAACGGGAGTTACGCCAACTATAAGAGGCTGCATAATGAAAGCCAGCGTGGCAGTAACACCCTACCATCGGCTTCTCTCCCCTAGCTCCAATTTCATTTTTACGAAACGCCCCCACGTTTTTTCTTCGCTTCATCTTCCGCCACACAGGGATTCGCGATTACTTTCCCCGCACCTACCACCATATACCCTTTCAGTTTATTCTAATTGCCTCTGTGTCCAAGACACGAGTCTGTCAAATAGAATCCTTTTCCATTAACGTCCCTTTGATATCGTATTCGTTAATAATATAAGTTTCATGGAACTTTACGATCAATGGAGTTTAGAACTTTAAAGCTTCTTGTTTCCAGCTGTTACAAATTTCACGGGCGCCCCCCCCCCCGACTTGCAATATTTCGTTGTTAGACATCATAAAAAATATCATTTCCAAGGACCGTGCCATAAATCCAGCATAAATTTTGACTCGACAACGATATTTCGAGGCTCGAAATGCCCCCTCAGGGCTATGCGTTACCTCTCGCGTCTGCCAATTTCTTTTCCTTTCCCTTATTTATGGGTTAGCTTTCTCTGTTCTGGAAGAACCGCAATTTGCAATTTCCTCGCACCGACTGGCTACCTTCCTATCGCAACCGGACCCCGTCCGATTCCTTCGATTCTTCTGTTTCCGGAGTTGCAGCAGGCGATGCCGTGTTCGTGCCGCGAATCCGAATGCCGCGGGGAAATACGTCAGCCGAGAAGGAATCTCTGCTGTACCTCTGAAAACTCTCGAGAAAACGGCGTACCTTCGAACGGCTTTATTTCGACGTACGAGAAATTCTCGATTCTTCCTCGCCCTCCTTTCAGTTGTTTGTTTGCGCAAAGTGAACTAGCAAGAGGACCCGTTTACTCCTACCCGAGTGAGTTCCAACGACTTTTAATAGAACTATAGGGATCCGTAATGCTCTCAAAATAAAGGGAAAATTATCTTTTCTTTTCTTTTTTTCATCAAGTAACTAATGTTTCGTTTCGTTACATGAAACACGATTACGCAGCGGTTTTCACGCGGCTCCACCTCTTTCCGGTTCATCGAATTATCCTGTTGCGCCCGTACATCCCGTTTAATTCTTTTAACGTTCAACGCTTTAAAGGATTTCCGGTGCAAATAGAAAGTAAACGATTTTACATAAGTCCGTTCAACGGATTTGCGAGCAACAGGAGAAAAAAGTTCAAGCCATACGGTAAATATTTAAAGAATATCCCCTTTTCTTCCGTGTTCTTGTACTTTGTTAGCAGAGTAGAACAGCGTTGATTATCAGATTCGGTGTGGTTACCAGACAAAAGAATCACGAGAGGATGGTTGTAACGCGAAAAAGTTGACGGTGTTTAGGGACGAACATTTCCCGCTAACTTTTAATTGGCTGAATCGTCGAGAGAGAGAAAAAAAAAAAGAACCAGACACGGTTAACAGTTCTGTCGTTTGTTCGAGCTGTGTGCTCTTTAGGAAGCCCTGGTCACGTTTCTTTCTCGCTCGACGCCATCCGAGAAGTTCGAGAGCCGGTAGAACGGAGAGATAGTCGGAAACATAAAACTCCAGACAACATAACTCACCCATTTCCAGACTATCCCTTCGAGAAATTATTTTGTAGGTGGAGAAACGTTTCGTGGCACGTGGTAGGATCTGGCCGAGAGAAAGATCGTTCGCGAGCCTGTCTACGGGGATGCGCGAAAGATCTCAGGGAAAGCTAAGAACTCTGTCCGTTGAAACATTAATCGTCCCTTTCGACAAATAAATCGGCGACTATCGTTTATTTGTAGCTACGTTTTCGCCGAGACAGCTCGAAGGTAGCTGGATTTGTCGTTGATCGGTACCGATCGTTCCTCAGCCCCAGGCTTTCCTGATAAAATCGTTTGTCGATTTCTCATCGTAAACGGAAGTGAGTTATATCGCTGATCTGTACCTTCGATTTTGCTTCTTTAAACTTGTCATGCTTAAAACGTATAGAAACAAAGTCCTTGCGAATCCGTGTAATTATCGAAATTGAAAAAGTTGTAGAGTCGAGCAAAGTAGAGGTCCGAACGTGTTAAATAATCTGATTAACGATTAAATAAACGAGCCTGTTGCGTTGTAACCTGGCTAACGGTAAGCTATTATTTAGCCAGTCACGTCTTCGTTGGGGGATAAGCGAGGATGAACGTGATCATCCCTTAATTTCGTGAGGCAAAATTATTCTCCGGTGTACGGTATCTCATTTCCGGCGGATACACATCGAAACGCGTAACGATACGGTTAGTTGTACGTGATAACTCAGCACTGTCGCGACATGTCGGTGCAACCCCCCGTTCCTCGTTCACCGGCCGATTGAAACAGCAGAATTGTTTTGTCGGTGCTTGATTTTAACCAGTATTTAGACCTCTCTACAATTTATACTAGGTGTATTTATTATTCTCGAAGGAACTCTTTTAGGATCGTAGGTAGTGTGTAGGATGGTAGATTAGGATCCGGGTTGGATCAACGGGTTGAAAACGGTGTCGTATCTTCTCGGGTAGCTGTCAGCTCCACAGTTAATTTTCTCGCTGAAAAATTAGTTGCCGGCCAAAGAGGGTAAGGGGTGTCGTAAAATAGTAAAGTTCGCGTCGAGTTCAGGCGAAATAAGTGCGGCTGAAGAACGGGGTGAAAAGTTGGCTGCGGCAACGACGAAAAACGGGCTTGCCGAGCGCGTACGAGGTTCGTAGCAGTTTCACAGGACGTGGACGAGAAGAAGGAAGTAAGAAGAAAAAAGGGGGACGAGAGAGGGGGCGCAGGTCGGTGGCGTTGGTGGAATTAAAAAATTTTTAATTGCAACCGTAAGCCGACCTCGTTCGCCGTCCGAGACGCGAGCGGCTGCTAATTATCGTCCAAGAAATTACGGGGCATTAAAGAGGCGAGTCGCGAACCCTGTCCCGGGGACAATGCTCCGTTCTACCCTGGCTTTATTGTTCCCGCGTTGAATCACCGGAGATTCCTGGTCGCCGGATGTAATGCAAAAAACAAGCAGCACTCGTTTTCCACCAGTCAGCGATAACCACGATGAAAGTTATCGGATTCGTTGAATGCATACTCGGTGTGCGGTGCTGGTTTCTCTCGTTGAAAGCGGTACGCTTTGCTTGACCCTTGTCTCTCTCTCTTTCTCCTTTCACATTGAATATCCGGTGGCCTTTGAAAAGGTGCTTCCAGCTACGCCGATTCTCCCTTTAACGTATGATAATGTTGCCTTTTTGCTTCGCTGCCTCGTTAATTTCCTCTGTCCTTCTCAACAGAGGAAAAACCCTTTCCACCATCCCTGCTCTCGCGTGTTGTTATCACGGTGAAACGGTTCTTGCTAAAATACCGATGCCTCCTCGTTCCTACCTTGATTTTAATATTCATTTGTCGTCGTTGCTTTGCTTTAACGAATGCGTTACCTTTACAGCAGTTTTTACCGTAACTCGTTCGTTCTCGCTACGCATCCATTGTCTTACTCCGGTAAATCACGAACAGCTATTTCCGCACGAAGCTACGACCGAGGGTGAGCTTGGAGAAAGCCACAATAAAACTCCATTTCTCAATGGCAATCGTTCGTCGACACTAATTAACCTTATTAGAAGAATGAATACCTCTACCCTCGGTAAACACCGTATTATTTGGCTGTTTTCCTCAATCGTTATAGCGTCTGAACGAGATTCGTTAACAAAATTCACAATTTTAACCGGTTTTATTTCACGAACATTCAAAGGATACATTATAAGAGGAAAGGCTTTGAAAATACGTCGAGAAACATTTTCTCGTTTGAACTTTCGAGACGATCTATTCGGAAAATCGTGTTTCACGGTTAGATCTCTCCTCTTGAATGGTTTTGTTAGCCAAACACACAGGGACCAGTTGTTGTTCGAATTGAACGCGGAACGTCGCGTCGCTCTGTCTTCGTCGGTTATAAACGTAATTGCTGTGTATCCTGATGGTTATCTCTTTGGCTGGATTACGAGTGTCCGTGTGACATTCCGCTGTAGAGAGTACGAATTAATTTCGCTGGCAAATATTTGAGCCGAAGGAATTAATATCCTGCGGGCCACCGTGTTTATTAATTACGCTCTTCAATATTAGTTTCTCCTAACGGAAACCGCAAAAGTACTCCATTCCCGGCAATTGCGTCGCTCTATACACATTTCTGTCGCGCGTTCGATCGAACGCTAACGTTGCTCGAAAGAAGATTTAAATTTCGAAGAAAAAACGATCGAATGTCGATTCTCAAAACTTTCGGAGCAGAGCACGCGAAAGGTTTCCATAGTTTCCTCCCTAGCGGGAAGGCTGGTAGGACGTAGGACAAGGACGTTTATTTATTGGATTTCGTGGCCGTCACTGTAATCTCCGTGTTCGCAATGAATTATCCCTTTTTCCTATTTTTATTTTTTTTTTTTTTATTATTTTTTTTAACCGAATACTTCCTCGGAGTTTTTTTCACGCAACGGCGGAAGCTGTTTAATCCTGGCTGTGCCCATGTGTCGTGGCACGGTTAACAAGCGCCATAACTCATACAAGAATTTCCCGCGTAAATAATAGTCCGGGTTAAAGCTCCACCGTTGTTTATAAAACATTCTACATACATTACGCGCTAGATATTTCTGTTAAAAACGGAAGGAAAAACGGTACGCCTCCGGCTGAATCTAATAAAAATTGAAATTTATACTTTCTATCCGTCCCCCGTTCGTTCGCTCTGCCGAGGAAAAGCAGTTCGATCATTTCCAATTAACTACCTTCCCTCTCAATCAACATTCATCGTTTGAAGTCCGTAATCTGAAACGAAAGTAACGGGAAACTTTGTTTTCATTCGATGGATAAATTCAATTACGTCCGTGAATTAGCGTGTTTTCTTTTCGCCATGAGAAGAGCCATGGAAAGATCAAACGGTTGAACGGATTTGAAAGCCAGTCACGAGTATTTATTTATGGAAAATCCGTGCGTCATTTGCAATCAGAACGCGTGGATGGGACGAAATCGCGAAGTTTACTTAAACGGTTGGCACGCTTTGACGATCGGGGCAAGCTCGTCGAGTTCGCCTCACGAGCATATCGCTTTCCGATCAAGTATATCTGTTTATCGATCAATCAAAGGCCGCGCAATTAACCCTACGTGCCAATCGTACCTCCTCAAATTCCATTTCTTTCCTCTAGAAACACGCGTTTCTAAGGATGCGTTCCTTTACCTTTCTATTGCTATTTCTATTTCGAGTGAACGTCAGGCTGAATTTTCAACTGTTTCGAAACGAGCTGCTCCGAGGATACTTCAATAGTGTCCAGGTTCCTCTTCGATTGAAAGCCTCCGGTGAGAAAGGAAGACAGAAATTCGACGGGTAGTGGGAAAATGATGGTGGAATTCTTCTCTGCGGATATGTTGCTCAGCGTTTGCAAATATCGCAGCTACTTAACCAAAAAGAAAAAAAAAAACAAAAAACGATTTCTCGATTCTTGAAAGACTGTTATTAACTGCACCGCGGCAATTGTTGGTTTGAAATGACGAAATTATCTTTGACGATGCTCGGCCAGACTGTCTGGAACGTACCTGAAGGGCAGCTGGACTCATGGAAATGACATCGCTAGCCTCTTTCAAAGCCCGGGAAGCCAACATCTCTCCTTCCGCCGCAATCACTTTAGCCCGGGCCTCCCTTGCGGCTTCTGCCTCCGTGGCCATGGCTCGTTGCAGCTGCACCGGTAGTCGAACGTCCTTTCTAAATCACCAACATACCTTATGTTTTATTTTAAGCTACCTACTTGAAGCCTTACGTTGCGAGCTCGTACAATTCATCACCTAAAATAGCCTACACTAGCTTTAAGCATTAGTTTCTTCAGATGGAATAGGAAACTTTCCCCTTGGCCATTTTTAAAATAAGACTCACTTGCGAGACGATATTTCACCCATCGACTATGCGTAAAGTCGTGTCAGGTTTGCCCTTCGATAGCCCTTCGGTACAGCAGCAAAGAGCCTCTTCGAAAGGTGCTCGAGCTTTCTTCGAGACCTGCGACTCTAGTGTCTGGCTAGTGAAACGCTTGTTCTCGTGAACATCGAGACCAAAGGGTTCTTACTTTTTCGGTATCCGGTCGAGGGTTCGCAGGTGTTCTCTAGTGTCTAAGTTTATGCGCTTTCACGTGCCTGCAAATTTCATTCTGTCGTGTTATATCCCGTCGATACTCAACTTTCTTTCACCACCTACAGACTGATCGTGTGATTCAAATAAAGATCTTTACTACCTCCGGTACAATTTCAAATAAAAATTTAGTATTGTCCTCGGAAACGTTTTGAATTTCAAACACGACCGTCTAAAATTGGAAACGATACGCGATGAATTCCTTGGACGGGTGTACCTTCGTTTAAAGAGGGAAAATGAATTTCGCCATAAATGCTCTCATCCGTAATTCCATAAAGTAGTCGCAATCAACGCGGCGCTCCGTAGCCAGGTTTAAAACAAATCCCTTGACAGATTAAACTTTATGCGCAGAACAAACGGACCTTAAAAAGGTTAATTCAGAGTATAATCAGTAAACATTCCGGATGAAATTTGGCAAGAGAGAAATTCTGCAGGAGACAAGGGATAGTAATTCGGCATTGAATTACTCGATTCGATGGAAAAATTCAATTTAAAGGAATCCCTGGTGCAAGTTCAAAGGCGAGGCCGGGTACAATGTCGAGAATGATTCGCCGTGAAAAACAGGAAGACGATCGATCATCGTGAAAGCACCGAATGCTTGATGTATAAGGAGGCGATAAATATCATTTCGCGGGAAAAGGAGCTTATCCTTGCCACGGAAAGCGTATCTTGCTCCATTGAACTTACTCGAAAGAATCCACGGTGAAATATAGCAGCGATCGAGACATCGTATCGTATCGACAGCCACGATGAAATCGTTTCACCTCGACAATAGACACGATATTGCTGGAATTTCAAAAATTTCTGAACGCTGCTTTTCGAGCTACCTCGATTCGCTGGTAATTGTTTCTTTGATCCTTCCTGTGCTTCGATTCAGAGTCGATCAACGCGAGACTACTATATCGCAGACAGCTGAAGTTGATCAACTTCGATACACGTGCTCGCGAGCCGGAATTAATTCGTTCGAAACGAACCGGTGCTCATAAATCCGTTCACCTTTTTCTCTCGTGTGTTCGTTTCGTATCCGATAACGTTACCCTCTCGGATTCCGCACCGTCAATATTTGCATAATTTCAAGGAATTTGACAATTTTTCCAGTTCGAGCTATGTTCTTCTATTCTTTTTACCCGACGATACTCACATCTCCACGCGTTCAACCTTGACACCCCATGGATCCGTGGCCTCGTCGAGAGACGTCTGCATCGTGTGCGAAATCGTTTCGCGTTCGGATAGGATCTCGGCCAAGTTTCTCGTTCCAAGGACCGTTCTTAGAGTACTGGCGGCCAACAGTCGAGTCGAATGACTAAAACCAATTGTTTCCATTAAATTACACGAAATTCTGAGGAAGCAATATTTCAAGCTTTCATTATGTCGTGATCCAGTTAATTGTCATGCGTCAGAATTAATAATTGTATCTTTTTTTTGATCGCGTTTCTGCTTCGTTCACTTTTGAACCGGTTGGAAACGTTTTGCTCTGTTCAAACAACGTAAACTCTTGGTTGAAAAGTTACACAACGAGAGTCGGGAAAATTACTGTTACCAGAGAGGACCCCGAGCTTTTCCTGCTGATCGTGTCCGTGCAAGTTTTACGCATTTAATCAGCTTCTCCGAAGCGACTCGAGGAGAGAGCTGTCCCATCGCATACGATACAATTTTGTCTCTCGTCGTTGCTAATTAAAATTACAGGATACCGTGTTTACGTCGCTACGACCAGGATACTTAATTTGTTTTCAACTTTATATTCATATCGCGAGGCAGCATCTCTTTTTTTTTTTTGCTGAAAAGAAACACCGAGGTTGATAACGCGAGAATATAGAGGGATGGTTGGCAAGTAATTTTTACGAAAATTTTGCGAATTTTTCCGCTCTCGTGATTGTCAAACGAACTTTCAATTCGACGCCGGGGGAAAAAATGCTCGACGATGTCGAAGCCAGCACACTTTCCGTATTCTATCTCTAAATTGAGAGGAAATCACGACCAGCAGTTCTACTCGCTTTTTATTGTCCTTTTTCAGGTGTACCTATTTAATTCCAAACGAGTTACCTCCAATTTATTCGAGCACCGAGTTCTTTTATCATATTTGCTTGCCATTCAATTGAGTTGTAGATGATGCTGATACTAATTTCATTAATAAATATTACTTCGTAGAGCAGGCCTAGCAACGTATGAAGTAATGCTGAAAGGGTTAAACGCGGGATGATCACGTTTTCTCTGAATCCTTTCGCCGCGAACGAAGCGTGAAAAGCAACGAGAACGAGCGCTATAAGTGTTGGGGAGTTTTTCAACGAACGGTCGCCGGACGTTCGCGACCCATTTGCATTACGCGAACGAAATCTCTGTTACGATAGCGTGTGCATTCCCTCGGACGTTTTCTACTCTGTCTCCCCGGCGACGCATTAGCACGCTTGCATTCATTCCGTCGGGTTAAAAGGGAAACATGGTTACGGTATTACGGTTATTAAAAATTCTCCACCCTCTATGCTGCTGCACCAACAAAAATATTAGGTTGTTGCGTAAGTTTTGTCCGTTAATCTTCCAGTGTACGCATAAAGCTAAGATTTTTATCGCTCTTTAAATTTGCATCTCCTTATAATATTACTTTTTCTATTACATCAGGGAGAAAGGAGTTAGTTTTCAGCGAGATCGTAGGATTGTTTCGCTCACCTGTAATTAGCTATCTTAATGACAGCATTTAGTGGCTCCTTTATGCGGTAATAGACGACTGCGTCGACGCTCACCGTCACGGAATCTTTGGTGAGTACTTCCTGTGGTGGTACGTCGAAAGACACCGTTCTCAGATCGACCCGGACACAATTGTCCACGCAGGGCATCACGAAGAACGTTCCTGTTAACGATACACCACTCCCCAATCACTCACAATTTCCGCCGATTACACATTCAAATTGACATTTATAAAATGTAAATACAACAATTGATGATCGTGTTTTAGCAGATGAATATTGGAGGCAGGAAATAACCGAAATATCGGGAATCTGTTTTGATTCCATTTTCACGAATTTAACGTGTAATTGTATACACTCGAACGTGCTCAAATATTAATTTATACGTCATACTCGTTGCACACAGGGTGTCTCCAAATTTGAAAACATTGCAATCCAATTCTAGATGGAAAAACATTCCGCGCTACATAGTTCCTGGTTTTTCTATACAAAAGTATATTTACCGAAAGCTTTTTATAGCCAAAATTATATTTTCTGTTAGATAGCAAGGCTTGAAAAATAAGTGCTCTATTTGAATACTCTAGACACCGTGTATATTCTTCCATTATTCGATCCGACGACAAATTTTCGGACGGTTATTAAACCGATTGAATGTTATGGAACAAATAGTCTGAACAAAAGATTTCATTCGAATTTCATACATTCGTTCTGTATCATCGAACAATGACGTCGGATTAATTATTTTACAGCAATTTGTAACATTTGATAGTGAATTTCAGGTAGTAGTAGATCTCGGAAATTGACGGCTCGTATTTACCTGGACCGTAAGCTGCTCCCTTTAAGCGACCCATTCTAAACACGACAGCCCTTTCGTACTCTTGCACAACCTTGAACGTGAAGCAGAGGGAGAAGGGAAGGGTAACGAGCACCAGCAAAAAGGATCCTATGGTTGCAAGAACCTCGATGAATCTCGTCATAGCGCCGACTTTCTTCTCTTCCGCCATTTGCGAGCCGGTCACCGTAGATTCCTCTGTTTTCCCAACAAACAGTGTCAGCGAGAGGAAACGAAAAGATGAGAGTAAAGAATAACGCGCGCATCTTGAACCGCGACGATTCGAGATGGATTACTTTCTCGGTAAGTGGAATTCTGCGGGAAGCATTATAATTAATGGACACGGTATAGGGTGATTTGTCATTGGTTTATACGCTTAACGATTTCTTGCCATTGCTCCCTTTTCGAGGGTGGCGCGTTGCAAAAGCAATCATGCAAAGACCTTTCGTTCGGATCGTCCTCGGTAAATTGCGCGTGAAATGGAACATTGCTGCCAGAAAAGTAATTCGACTATCTCGTCCCCCCGTCGACAGACTTTCTCATTAATTTCATCCCGCCATCCCGTGCACTCCGCGTTTTCCTTTGTATCGAAGTTAATTTTTAAACTACGCAGGTTTCTATTAGACAACCTGATCTACGAGGAAGCCAATATAAAACGAATTCGTTCATTGTGAACAGCTTTCGCAGTAAGTTGCGAATAATCGTTGGACCAAAGTGTCGGCTACCGAGAACGATCAATGGCTTTTCATGCAGATCAGAGGCAAAAAGGAGTTTTATTTTTTCGTTGTTCCGGCTTTCAGATAGGTTCTTAACAATAGCAACGAGAGAACGATATCGAGCTACGTGGTGTCTCACTGAACTCAACGAAGCATTCGATTCCACCGCTGTCGGTTTTCGTGCATCCGTAGTGCACCATACCGAAAGCCAGCAAAAAAATTCCTTTATCCTTCCTTGTCCGGCCAGCTGATGGTTGTTGGATCGAAATCGTACATTAAATTAAGAAGATTCCTCTTATCTTTTATTACGCACCACTAATCTTTTGCGGTTCATTTATGAAACGTGATCGAACATGGAGCCATCGAGGAAAGGTTCGTAACTCGCGAAACCGTTCGCGGTGGAGGCGACCGGGCTACTAAGGGAACTCGCAAATCTAGCTTAAGATTCGCCTACGGTCTACCGTAATAGCAAGGAAGCTGGAAGATTCGATCGAGAGGTGGATTGGAAGCGAGCAAGCACGACGAGAGACGCGTCCGGCTGGCTGGATGTTACCACACGCGGCCACCGCAACACCACAAACCTCTACCAAATTAACCCTCCTCACGGCTTACGAACACGCTCGATGTTTATATACATAATGAGTAATTGGTCGTCGTGGATCGACGAAACGCAGAGAATTCTTCTCTGGTCGTCGTTCTCGGACCTCTTACTTTTTCTCTTCGTGCTAATTAATATGTTACAGTTCATCTGTACACACTTGTATTATTGACCCATCAATGTTAGGGTTCATCAGCGATCAGTAACACGTACCATAATAGCCTCGTAATTCTTTAGGCACGCGTGTAAGTTATGCAAGATACGTTTCATCACCACCACCATCCAGCCTGACTCATCTCCTAATTGTTATTCTTAGAGCCGTTGGTTTATGAACGTTTCGGCTTTATGTACCGCGGTCTGCCTTAGTCTGTCGGATCGTGTTATTAACAACACGGCCGTGTACAAACAATTTCTTCCCCTTTACGCGAGCAGACTTTCTCGGCCCACATTGCTTACGAGTTCAGTTTTCGACGTGATTCTAGATGGAAACAATTTAAGAGGGAAACAGTTTGTACTTTTCTTTTTTTTTTTTCTTTCTGCGCGATTATTCATTCATTCGATTATTTCATTCAGGTGCTGCCGCGCTCGTCAACAGCATCATTGTCATAATTATCATTAACGACGGTGTACACGGTATCGCAATTTCCCAACCGGTCGAGCAGGGTCCATTCGCAAATAGCTTGAAATAAAGTTCGTCGGTGCATGCAAATTAGTCGAATCGCCTCGCTTCCTGATATTTTAACGAAATAATTGCCACTTTGATACGTGGCCGCTCCATCTGCCCCGGAAATATCGGGGAATTCGCGTTAAAACGTACAAAATTAACGAATCGTTTGATCGAGAAGAATTTGTCCCAATTAATATTGCCGATCGCACAATTATTTCACGTCATTTCAACGAATCGTAACAATTCCATTTTCCTATAGTCATTAACAACGCGTTAACTGGTTCAGTTGATGGGAGATTGTCTAACAAAAATTCTCATTTTCTTTGCATGCAGAAGACCTAACTTCATCTGGGGGTGTCTTTTTTAGAGGCCGCCGAACGATGCTCCAAACATATTTCCATCGATCAATTGAATGCGAACGAACTCGCGTTTGCGTATCAACGCGATCACTTATACATACTAATTAGTGTAATCATATATTCATACGTTTGCTTTTTCGAAGCGAAATACCGAAAATGCTTCAATTATGCGCATCTATTATCTGCTACGATTACTCGTTTTATACAGATTACGCATATTCAGCTCGTTTTTCTGTATGCTCCGCTTTTAAAAGTACAGTTTACGCGACGTCTTTGTTATTGCAAACTAATGAAATTACGTTGAATAGGACTTTTGGTATTTTATATGCAAGATTACAAGGTTCTTTCACGCGTATTAGAGAGGCGAGAGAATACGTGGGTGGAGCGCGTTTGTGCACGACCTCGTAAACGTCAACATCCGGTTCCCCCATCGCCTTTACGTTCAGTCCATTAATAATAATCAGCCACCGGATACACCCGTAAGCCGACGCTGCTTCTAATGACTAAGAAGCTCCGCGTCTAGATTACACGCGAGATAATGTCGTATTTGCTCGATGATCACCTCCTCCCGGGATCGTATATGTGAATATTAGACCTATTTCACGGTAGTCGCGCTATAACGCTAAAGTAGCTTCAATTTTACATGATTTTTAACGAGTCAATCTCAAAGCAGAGATTACCATCCCATAAACTTCCGTGGAACGCGACAGTTGCAGAAACGACTGTGATTGATCTACGATCCCTTGACAAATGTCTCCTCATCATTGCTTTCACTGCTCGTTACCTTTACGAGTTAGCATCTAGCTTGCTACTGAATTCTCATCGTGATAATTAACTCCCTGCTCGGTGGCCGTAATTGATTGTGCGCTTTGGTTATCGGTCGGTAATCGCGTTGACCGCGGACTCCGCGTTTGCTTTGACGACCCACTAATAACATTAATACCTAAATTGCGACGATGCAACCAGTGTTTTTTTTTTTTTTTTCTAATGCGAAACGGATGATCCAGATTGAAAAGAATTTTGTGATTCGCAATCTACGAATCGGGGAACGCGTTATATCGATCTGACGGAGCAATCGCGCGTATTCCAATTCATGGGAATTGCATGGCTGGAAGTTGTAACGTTGGAAATATCGTTGTTTCGAGGCGCGGCGGTGATTGTCGGCGTTTAATAGATGCCCTCTGTATATCGGGAACACCCTGTACATAGGATTAGGATGCAGGTGCAACAACGCGGAGGGCGCGCCACTTCGAAGCAACGCGTCGTTCCATCGACAACGCAATCGGCCGCATTCGAAATAGCCGCACCGTGAACTCCAGCACGAAATGAGAATTAATTGCATGCCGATGATAACGTAATCGCGAGGACAGTAACTACTAGCGAACGGAGGTGAAACCCTTCGCAGCTCTGCTAATGGAATCAAAAATGCTCATTTCGACCTCGGTACACATACCGTTCCAATCTATAGACTATATTCCTGCGAGAGATTAAAATTCAATTAATTTAGCAGCGTAATAGAGGTTAGACAGGCAGGCAACTAACGTTTCGTCCATTCGACGCAAATCTGGTCGGGGAATGTTTCTGCGCGTAGGTACATACATATAACGTACGAGCATAATGTCCGTGATTATTCTAGCACGTTAAAGTTGCGCTTTGACGACGTACCACGCGGTTCATTCCACTTTCGCAAGCTGTGCCGTTTCATTCGCTTCAACGTTTCGCAATGCAATCCCGAGGTCGCTTTGTCTGGATCTTATTATTCCCATGAAATTCCGGGTCCCTCGTTACGAAGCAATTTATTCGACGTCCCGCGGGGAAACATTTTGATTCGCCGCTAATAAAGGACAACGAAATTACTCTCGTTTGGAGGTATTGTAGAACGACGGCATCTAAGAGCTGAGACGGTAAGTGTCCCCGTATTTACTCGACACGGGGCTGAATCTTTCGACGAGCACCGAGCACCGAGCACCAGCTTCATCGACGACCTTTTCTCCACTATTATACACAACAGATCAAAAGTTTCGGTCCGTTTCGTTTTTACCGTATTTCGTCGAGAAAATGTATGGTTGCATCGGAACGAGATGGTTGAAAAATTCTATAAGCTATCGTGGAAACGTGGGCACAGAATTCTCCTCTGAATACTTTGCGATCATTTTCATGAAATTGGGATGCGGTTACTTTTTAGTCGCATTGTACCGAGGCGTCAGACATAGGGCGAGGGTGGCATCGATTGGAAGGGGCGAAAAGCCAAGAACAGTGTAAATCCTGCGAAGCAAAGTACCTCCTACCGGTGTACACCGGCTATCCAGGGATCGGGGATCGGTGATCGGTGATTGACGATCCAGCCGACGTTGGCCAACCCCGTTGCGATATCCCTGCTGGTGTTTGTAACCTCTGTATACGCTCGTTGCTGCTAGAGTAAATCCGCAGGATAACTAGGTGTTACGGGAGAAGGAAACGAGCAGGAAGTTAGGGTGGCTCGTACGACGGCGATTCTTTAACCCTCCCTTGCTTGACTGCGTAAACTTTGCGGGCTAGTAAATCCGGTGTTATGTAACCAAGGATAGAGGAGGGGTGAGATTTATGCGGTTACAAGGGTTCTTCCAGCTGCGGCTTGTTATTTGTATTACACGATGCCGGTGGTGTTCTATGGAAAGGGAGACAGATAAAAGGAAGATAAAGCGTGTTTCGTGCAGACTCTCTTACTGGACCAGTCGATAAACTCTCGACTAACAGACTCTATCTCTTACACGCGAAAGTAGCCAATTTAGTTGGAATTTTTCGAAAGAAAGAACATTTTTTAATTACTCCAATGAAAGGGGAAAAGGAGACAGCAATTTTATAAGGCGTTCAACGTCTCAATCGATCTATATACTATGTATATTGGTGCAATTTCATCCTCGAATAGTGCTTTCCATAAATTTCATGAAAATCGGCCTTTAAGTAATTGCAAGCTGTCAAGGAGGTAACAGGTATCGAATATGTTTACCAGCGGCGAAGCGTACTTGAATAGAAGACGCAACAGGTAGGCTTAAAAGAAGCATAAGCAAGTGTACAAGAGTAATGAAAATGAATGATTTATTAAACCGTTCGTTTATATATACTTTAATGCGTAATGCATGGAATAACTTTAAAGGAGTTTCTTTTCAAAATGTTCGTCATTCCAGTTGAATTACACACGACGAATGTTCAGGAATAGCTGTGCGCGATAAGGGAAGGGTTGAGAAAGTATAGGCCAGCCGATGTGGCTATCCTGTGGGAGTGTTTGAACCTTGATCACGTTGTTAACCCTTCTCCGTCTCTTTATCCTTCTACCACGATCGTACATCTTTCACTTACACCTGCACTGCCATTTACTCTTCCTTCGATGCATTATTTTCTTTGCCTTTTCATCGCGTATAATTTGTTACAAATTCTAATGTTCTCATTTCAGGATGATATGCAAACGCTATACGTTATCCACACGTATGCAAAACCGCAATGGCTGTTCCAACGATATTCAGAGCAAACAGAGAGACATCGACGATGGAATCGCGCGGTTTGGGAATCGCATAATCAGATCTGAGGTAGACTGGTCGAAAGCCGCGCGTGTTTTGGTCAGTACGCGAACATCGCGGGCGTGGTATCGCCCGTTGCGATAATCATCTGGAAACGTTTGTCGAGCAAATCACGCGAATGAACGTGATCGGAAACGCGTAGCATCATTTCCAGCTTCGAGGATAAGAGCCAAGTTTCATTTCGTTTGGTTTCCGTTTAGCTGTGGTCGTTTTTATT